ACACTATTATTTTAGTTATACTAATACCAAGATTTTAATTTCTTTTCTTAAATTAATCATCGGTGCGAACGTGCATCCAAATATTGCTCAAGCGTTGCGCCGATGAATAACATATAAAAATTCGTACGTGTAATACCCTAGACAAACGTTGTCCCACCCGTGACAGAGGAATTTCGGATTTTTTGTATAATAAAGCCATAACTGTTTGTAGTTTTTGCTTTTTTTGTGTTCTTGGTTCTTTGTTTTATTATAAGACATCAAGTGCACGCAGAAAAGTTAAATAAATTCGCAGTTTCCGTAAAATATATATGCTCCAAAAGGCAGGTTCTTTTTTTGTCCCACCCGTGAAAGAAGAAATAAATCAGATTTTTTCCATATAAAAGTAGGCTAGAATTTTTTTCGTGTTTGGTAATAACTCATATAATAGTCAATGAGAACTTTATACTTAAATTAAACAATAAAGAAAATTCTTTCTGTACAAGTGTCCAACCCGTGATGGTGGAATTGCCCTCCTTCTTTTTGTCAGAATATTTCGAGCGTGGTATCAAAGCAAATTTTTCCACAAAGGTTCTGATAGTTGCTCTTACTTAATTGGAGCCTTCTAAATTCAATGGCGTCCTCAGTTTTGCCCCATTGGTTCCACTTTTCGAGATAGCGGTACTTGAAACTTTGCTTAAATTTTTAATATTTTATAAAAACACTCCCTCAGTTTTGAAGATATTTTACTAAAATTTTGACATAACTATTTTTTAATATTACCTTAAATACTCCATAAAATCATCGAAATCGGTTCACTATATAGCTCGGGAGGGGTTTAGTAGCGCTCCCAACTATTTCGGGCTATTCCGTCCAAAGGGGTGGCCCGATCAAAAGAAAACTATACACACTTGTAGTCAAAGGTGTACGCATTATTTTAACACCCACTTTTGTAATTTTTGGTCACTATTTATTTACAAATTTGGTTTGAAATACGCCCTTTTTTGTAAAATTCGGAAATTAGCGTATATTTATAACTCCTAGTCTCCTTAAAGCAGCCACTTCTACACCTTTGTTTTTGTATTCCTCTTCACTTTACTCTTTACTCGATTAGTTATAACTTTCTTTACGACTTTAATATCAACCAGTTAATCACAATTCATTAAATAAAAACACCTTCAAAATCACGCGTCTGACTTTGGTTGCATATGCAAATTAAATGGCGGAGTTCAGCTGTCAAACTCCAAAATGTGCAAAAGAATGAGAGACAAAAGAAGATAGGATATAACCCAGTCAGCATTAAAAATATACAAAGGTGTTCTCTGCAAAAGGTGTTCAGCCCCTTTTCTTCGCAAAACAGAAAGAAGAATTCTACTGCCTGAGGATTATAATCCCTAAGTGCGGCCGAAGGCCGCCTACGCAGAAAGGTGTTCTCTGCAAAAGTGTTCAGCCCCCCTCCTTTGGCAACATAGAAACGAGAATTCTACTGCCTGAGGGTTATAATTCCTAAGTGCGGCCGAAGGCCGCCTACGCAGAAAGTTGTTCTCTGCAAAAAGTGTTCAGCCCCCCTTCTTTGGCAACACAGAAAGAGAATTCTACTTTGTGAGGGTTATAATCCCTAAGTGCGGCCGAAGGCCGCCTACGTAGAAAGGAATTCTACGCAAAAATACATTTGTTAAAAGAACATTTTTTTACAAAGACTTGTTATACCCGAGCTCACTTGTGCACAAGGGTATATTAATTTTGTTCACATAACGGTTGTTTGTAACAGCCAAAACGAATCGAGATAGATATAGACAAAGGTATACATAAATGATCAGGATGAAAAAAGAAATCGATTAAGCCATGTCTGTCCGCCCGTCCGTCTGTCCGTCTGTCCGTCCGTCCGTGTACACGATAACTCGAGCAAAAATTGAGATATCTCAATGAAATTTGGTATGTAGGTTTCCGGTAGGTTGGTATTGAAAATGGGCGAAATCGGACTGTAACCACGCCCACTTCCCATATAACGGTAATTTCCAGAAATACGAAAACTGCGATATTTTAGTAACTACTGAAGATTATTTACTCAAAATTGATATTTGCAACAATTTTTAGACGAAAAATAATATTATAAATTTTTTGAAAATGGGCGTAGCCCACTTATGGTTACATGTGTATATCTTGGCAACCGCTGCACCGATTTCATCCAAACTTGGCACGGTTGTTGGGCTTGGTACAGCATACGAAATGGCCGAAAATTTTTGAAATCGGACAATAACCACGCCCACAGTCCATATAAGGGTAGTTTAGCGAAATACGGAATCTTCGATAAATCAGTAAATATTAAAGCTAATTTATTCAAAATTGACGCTTGCAACAATTTTTTACCAAGAAATACGTTTATCTTAAAATTTTGGAAAATGGGCGTGGCACCGCCCACTTATGATCACATATATGTATCTCGGTAACCGTTCCACCAATTTGTACCAAACTCGGTATGGTTATAGTGCTTGCCACATAAAAGTAAAACGTTGAAAATTATTTAAATCGGACTAAAATTGAGGCCGCTTTTCATATAACGGTAAATTTCAGAACTGCTTGAAACTTCAAAATTTCGAAATTTAAGAACTCTAATTGACTTAAAATTGATACGCCCCAGCTTAGCATGTAGCGGTAGCTTTCGGAAAGGTGGAAAACATATATTTAATACTTGCGCCGGGTGTTTAATGTTCGGCTCCGCCCGAACTTAGACTTTCTTACTTGTTAATTAACATTTTTATTCTTTATTCAAAATCCCCCGATATCTAATTTGGCATAATTTCTTTTATTAAAAAATCCCACGGTTTCTGTTAGTTGGGTCACTTCCTCTGCTCAGTTTGCCTAGAAAATTCCGTTTTTCCTCCTTTTTCAAACGGTGCCCTAGGGGTCTGTGGGTGGAGCCGAAGGGGGGGTACGCCTTTTTAGAAAGCGGGGACTGTCCCCTTTCTAGTGGGCGGGGTCTGTGGGAGTTATGTAAACAATAGTTAAAATTTAATCGAGTTCCGTTATTTCGAAAACCGGAGCCAATCTGGTAAAACGGGGGATGCCATTGAATTTAGAACGTCCCAATTAATTGGTTCTAACAAAGAACGTAAATGTCTGCAAATAAACAAAAAGAGCTGCGGCCATGTTTTTTTCATTTCATTTTATTATTTCTATCATCGATCATTTTTTCTCAACGTTTTTTATCGCCGCGAAACCATATGTGCGGCGAATTCATTTACGAAAATGGATGTCAAAACGGACGCGAACTCCTCATCTCAACCTTGCAGACCTCGCTCGCTGACTTTAGCGAGTTGTCGCTTCTTATACATTTACGTTCTTTGGCTCAAATTTCAAAATCTTTGCTCAAAATTTACAACTTGTACAGTGTAATGTGAGCATAAACTATTTTTTGGTTTTCTATTTCAGCGATCTAAATGGTTATTCCTCGCCTAACTTGATGAAAATGAATTACACTTGTATTTATGGATTTGTTAAGAGATTACGAATAGAATCATATAAAAAGCATAGGCGTGCACACAACTCAATAAATTTAACTTTTTGTTTTGAAAGTGTACCTGTTTTTTGGAGTTGCCCATATGAGTACGTGAAATTCCTTCTATTTTCTGTTACGATTTTTTTTTATAGGAAGAAAGCCACTAATCAGCTGTTGATAAACATAAGCCGTCATCGATTCGCCAACAGTTAGCGAGTGGCGAAACGAACGAACTCAATGAGGTACAACCAAACTCGCTATCTTCTATCCGTGCTAGCTAACTTGGTTGTTGCTTTCACATGCAAAATTCTTCTTTAAGCGACCGGAACTCAAACATAGCGAGCGAAAAGTGGCGAATCGATGACGGCTATAGTTAACCAGACTAACAAAAGAAAACTGAAAAGGACTTTCAAAGTTGATAAAATTACCGAGCACCAACTAGCAGTTTACCAAAACTACCAAAATTGGTGTGGAGACCCTTAATGTAACATTAGCAATTATTAACTGATAGATAATTTTGACTGAACAAGTTCCCTCTCCTACTTTTCTATCTCTTTCAAATCAATGTTAGCAGTGCAAATTAACGATTCGGTCACAATTCCAGAACAAATTAATATGACTACATAAAACCACGG